CATTGGATTGTGGGTGGTGATGAAATCCAAACGGAGAGAAGCTCGTAAGAAGTAAATCATGACTAAATTCCCACCAAGGATATACCTCATGAGTGTGCCGTCATGTGTGGCATGAAGGATGTCGAGGAGCGCTCTCGGCGTTCTGGCATGAGATCATGAAATCAAATGACACACTTTTTCCTTATCAGCAAAATGGGGACATTAATATTCGCCACATTGCGACTGTTTTCAACGTTTTCATTGTGAAAATGTCTTGAAGAGCTGCAGATAAGAGTTGCACATCCCAGTCAGTGACAAAATAAAAACCATGATGTAATATTTGAAGGAATATATCAAATTTTCAACACTAGAAAAACATCAAATTTTCCGTTGTGGCGACAAAAGTTTGCATCCAATTAGACAAAAAAGGGTCAAGGAGAGAAGCTTTTGCTACATAGTTTCTATTGTGGTGATGCAGAAAAATTGTCGTGTGTAGAATGTTTTCCACTTGGTTGTGTGTTGTGAGAAAATGCTGGGAAATGAACAATTCACCTCTCGACTGTGGCATATTTGCGTGTATGTCATTGTAATGAGGACTCACTTGAGAGGCTCTCTCGGATGCTCTTCAAACAATTCGAGAGCGTGTGTTGAGCTGGGCAGTTTTTCACTGCATTATTTTCATTGTCGAGGGTTGGTCGGTTGGGCGAGAGGAGAAAAAAGCTCACCTCAGCAGAATTGTGAGGTCACCAGATGCTGACAACGCGGGTAACGAAGTTGATTTAACTTTTCGTCGTGTGTATTGTGTTTGATGAGTGTATTTATTTTTCTGGAATGTTTCTTTTTTCCACCCGTTCTTGGCTCTCTGGCAGCATACATTTCCTCCCTCTTGCCATTCTCTCTCTCTCTTGCTGTGGATGGAGAGTGCAGAGTATGTTTACAGATCGAAGGTATATGATAGAAAGATAAGGTTTCTCTCAACAACATGAAGGAGTTTCATGTGATTAAATCCTGAGATTCGGCTTCTGAGCGAATATATATTTTTGTCGTTTTTCCCTCGAAAAAGGAGTAGATCGAAATTCCATATGCTTGAGGGAAGGGAGAAATGTGAAGCTTTGTGCTAGATTTATCTACCTGAGCCGAAAAGGTCATGTCATTCCATCAAATTAACTTATGAACGTCTATCTGAGAATTGGAGACAGAAAAAACCATCATACTAATGAAATGGTGAGGCGCCTAAAGAGCTTTCGTTGGTGCAGAGAAGCTCTCGTTTTACGAGCTTTGCGACCCACTTTCAGTCCCAAACTGCAAACAGAGAAAAACTCATGACATCATCATACATGCCACTATATCTTTCCGGCGGCCATTCTTGCATTTCAATTTTCCGCTATTTTCAGCAAATTTCTCCACACTTTTTACCCCGCGCAACTCTCGTCGGTTGCAATGCAGTGAAAATTGTGCTGATAATCTGCAAAAAAAATGCCTGATTGACACTCAAAGCTCGAGGAGCGATTTGATGCCTGGGGTGTTTAATTTGCATGAGTGGCGGAAGCTGAAAAAATTGTTTAAATTTTTATTAATTAGGGATCGATTGGCTCCGCCCTGTGTTTGGTATCTTTTTCAACCTCATCCCAGATTTTTAAGCTTTAAGCGTTGGGGTTAATTTGCACGCCGGAAACTCAATTAATTTTGGGTCAATTATTTTTTTGCGATATTCAAAACAGATTAAAAATTATTAAACAGGATAAATTGATAAAAAATTGGCACTTATGATATCAATAAGCTTCAAGAGTCTTATAATTTTTATTCCCCTCGAAAGCAAACTCACACAAAGTGGTAAATTCGATGGTTATCCCAATATCAAATGTTACTGATAATGCTGAACTTAATCACCGCCAATTGAACATGTTCAACGTATTGCGAGGGAAACTATTCAATATCGCCCAATTGCATCCATTCAATTGCCATTTAGTTTTATGTCAGAGAGCAGCAATTTGATCGCCCAGAATGAGGTGAAACAAATCCCCGTTCCATTCTATCGTCCACGTCAAATCCCCGATCAGGAGAATCCTGAAAAACTTCCACCTCCGAATATGTGGTTTAGACAGAGAGAGAGAGAGAGAGAGGCGATGTATCGCATAAATAGTCATCCTCAATTGCAGGCGATTTGAATCCATTCCGCATTCCGCCAATTTTGGGGATGGAAAACACATAATGTCTCGAGTTTGGGGGTGGAGTAAGTTTGTGGCAAAGTGCCCTCACAGAAGCGCTAAACACGAATTTTACTCTTGCAGACACAAAATTCGTACGTGTGTCACATTTAAATTGCACTTTTCTGCAATGAATTCCCCCCTTCAACATTCGCTTCAGCACATGCTCTCGAGGCCCTTCAAGCTCCAAATGGGGCAATTTTCCTGGCGCGAACTCCACACCTCACGACCACCATGAGATGCAATTGTCCTCAAATGCACGTACTTTTCAGTGAGATACTGCATTTAATTAAATGTGACTTGTGATGAGTTGCAGTAGAAATGTTTCACCAGCCATTTGGTGACGATTGCAAACCAAGGAATTCATTGGACTTTGAAAAGCGCAAGCGTGGCCAGATTAACTACGGATTTCGGTGAGTTTTTCCAAGTTTTATGCATGATCAGTTAAGCTGTTTTTCTATATTTTGCAGAATAACGCCAACATGTTGGAATATGACACACAATTTGCAATTTTCTCTGAGTGTATCGAGTTTGAATGTGACAAACGACGCCCAGTGACGGTTTGCCATAAAACAAGGGGAATTACGTCGGCGAAGACGCTTTGTAATTATGATTATTAGGAGTCACTTTGCCATGCACACAGTCTAACACTTGGCATTCTTGCCACGAACTTGCCATAAAAGTCCCATAAAGCGCCCTCAAGTGCTCGGACGGTGGCGCGTGGAAATGGTGGGAAAATTCACAAGTGTGATTATTGACCCTATAATGAGGGCGTTTCACAGTTTCATTTATCACACTCGCGCGATCAAATTGTTAAGGCATTCGCCAATTTATCGCATTTTATCGTTTGCTATAAAGTGCAAATGTGGAGAGCTATTAAACGCACCATTATTTTGCAATTTATATAGGGAATCCGTCAAGAGCAACAAGCCAAGAGGGAAGAAGGAGAGAGGCGCAATTATATTCCGCCCATTTCGCTTCGCTAATCCCCAAAATTAGCAATTTCCCATTGAAAGTTTCCAGTGATAAACCATTTGGACTTCGACAGATGCTAATTCCACTCGCAACCCTTGAAATTTGGGAGTGGTGAATTGATAGGAAATCAATACTCTGATAGTCTAAAATTGTATTTATATATCTGAATGATTTACATCTGCAGGAAAGGAGGAGATGAAAGGCTACACGATAAGCCGATTCCCGGGAAATGTGTGTATTATTCATTTGGTACTCATCAAATGCGTGAATTTTTCTGTGAATTTCTCAAGAGAGGAAAGACATCTCGAGAAATCTGTATTAATAAAATATCACACGACTCATTATTTAGCCGAGTCACACGGACAGTGTCACCTTTCTGACGGCAGTGGACGAGCTACACAAATATCTAATAATATATTAACGTGCCAGGATAGAAGGAAAATGAGAGGAAAAACTTCAATTATTCACAATGCATTGTTCACTTGTTCATGTGCTATTCTATGGCTCTGCACAAATTACCATAAAATTTGCAATTGACATGAAATGTACGAGGGAATGAGTGGAGGAAAAAAGCTGCAACATTCGGGAAACACGGAGAACGAATTATTTGCAATAGCATTGACAGGAGTCGTGGACAATTAAATATTTAGATGGTTCAGTTGAGATGCAAAATAGAGCTTTTGGACACGTGAAAGCACAATATTGCTCGATTTCCTGCATTGAAAATGCAAAATTGTGATGCAGAAACGGAATCTATGGTGTTATGTGAATCAGATGGAAGAATTTTTCCCGCTTTTCCTGTCACATTGGGTGAATTGCGATTTTTTTATTCAACTTTATAATAATTGGATAGTTTTCATAACAAATCTTCAGTGATTTTGTGACATGAGCAGAATTATGCAATTCTGTCGCTTTCGAAAACTAAAAATAAAACTGTTAATATAAAGTAACAGATTGTTATTCTAAATGTTTGAATAAGAACTGGAAAAAGACAGTAAACAATAACCAGTGAAGCTATAAAAACTGTTATGAGGGTTCTATATAGTGTGAAAAAAGTGTCGTTAAGTGAGCATAAAAAACGACAAAGATGAGGAGTTAAATGGCCAAACAATTCACCCAAGGTTGCGAAATTGAGTCTCTCTCCTGACGGAATCTGACAATCAATGCCACTGAGAAAACGACATGTCAAAAATAGGACCATAAAAACAAACCTAAATTTCCTCCTCTTTTACTGCCCATCAAGATCCCAATCTTCATCTACAGCCTCATCAAGTCGCGCTCTGGCTTATAAGCTTGGGGTTTGACCTGGATTTGGGGGTTGAGAGTGACCCGAACTGAGAGGGTGGATTTTCAGTTTTAATCATCGCCCGATAGACCGCAATCAATTTCAATGGGCGGGAGGGGGGAGGGGGGCGAAGCTGATGACAGGTGGCGAGAGGATCGATGGGTGGATAATTGAAGGATGTCAGGATATCAGACGATATATGGGCTAAAAGCTCTCGGCGGCATGACTGACACTTTCTGTGGAAAGCTCAGTTGTCCATTCATAAGTCTCACCGCAGCGAGAGAGAGAGCGCGAGAGCGTGTTGTGAGGCTGTCTCGCTTATCTTGCGTTTTGTTTTCATTCCGTCTTTCACGAGCGCGCGCTCAAGAGAGCGCTTCACACTCTCTCTCTCTCTCTCTCTCTCGCCTTCCACTGATGATGACAGTCATTGAGAGGCACACGCTCAGCTGTTTGGCTCTCTCGCCACCTCTCGGCTGAGCTTTCTGGTCTTGCTTGGAGTATTTAGTGAGAGAGTCGTGACTCGCGCGAGTCAGTTCGCGTATGAACTTCATCGCATTCGGACTTGACTTGGGCAGAACAAGTGGCTGGCAGATTGGTGAGCTTTTTTCCCGTGAGTCGCGATTGCAAGTGAATTTCGTGCTGAATCTCTTATCTCCTTCTCTCCCGTCTTCTCTTCCTTGGCTCTTTTGGGGTTTTGTCTCTATATCGAGTGTTGTCCGAGTGCTTCGAGTCCACCTGTAGCGATCCTTCCAATGGGTGACTGAAAGGCCCCGTGCTGATCGTGTTAGCTGAGGACTTGAGGTATAACATTTAAAACATCACTTCTTGTATTGTTTGATGGGCAATTGCTGGAACATGTTACAAATCGTGTATGGCTGCGCGCTTGTGTGTGTGTGCCGCGGAAAAGTGTGAATGAATGCACCTTGGCGAGAAATGGTGCAATACATAATACCTTCAGATGCTCAACATCACTGTTTTTTTTGGTGTCATTACCATTCTTGTGGCGGTAAAAGTCTCTTTTTCACCGCCTGTGGCTAATTGGAAAATGACTTTGGGCACCTCAGCAAGACAATTTCATTCATTTTCCAGTCTCTCAACACACCTGACTCGCAGTCGTGGTGCAGAAGAGTGAGAGAGACACACACTCAATAGAGTCTTGACTGTTGATCGTGCTTAATGGTGGGAGGATTTGTAAATGCGTTTTTAGCGCCTATTTTACTGAGTGTTGCCTCTTAAACCGTACAGACATGCATACGCAAACGGTGTGGCTCTCGAATTTACGCTTCAACATACCAACAAATTTAATTGCTAATTGAATTCTGTGCAAATTTACGTAATTGTTGCTGTTTACACTCAACACAATTGCACATGAAATACGTGTTTGTATCTTTGCAACACTGCAACCGAGGCCTTCGGCCTGAGCTTTCGCTGAGCTTTCTATGTAGTTCCTGGCGAAATTCACCTTTACACACTCGATCATCTTTGCTGTCTAGTGTGAATTGTTTGTCGAACTGACAGCAGAATTTGCATATAGTGATTTTTCCACGAATTCAGCTTTTTTTATGGGTTTTTTGTGGGTGAAAAAGGAATTTTGATGGGATTTCGGAAAGTATATCAGTTTGATACGCAATTAATGTCCTAACAGAAACCCACACGATGGCTTTAGCTAAAAATATATCTTTAGAAATTGTGGGTCGGAGAATCCTTGGAAATTCTAAGCCGCCCATCTATTCCACCTCAACAAATACAGCGTATATTTTAAGGTATTTCCTACAATTTCGAGCACACTCTGTGGGCTATTGAGGTATGAAGAGGAGAGACTTGTATTTCTTACTCATATCGCAATGGAATATTTTCCATACGATAGAATTTTTCACTCAGAGAGCAAGAGAGCGCTACTTCAGGCATGTTCATTTAAATGATTGTGCGGGATAATTTGAGATTTCATCCGGCTAGACGAGCTCAATTGATAATTGTGTGTAGAATGTCTTGCCGAGTGTGTGTTCGTCTCAGAGCAAAAAGTCACACCAAGGACGCGCGGTGCGGAATTCTGGGGTACACAAGATTTAAGAGAAGATGAAGAGGAGGAGGGGGGGGGGGAGAACACCTGAAATAAATGGTGAAGCGTCGTAAATGGTTTTAGTGGACACTTTTGGTCCTTCTGACCAACACTTGCCAATACTCGCGCGCTCCATAAAAACAGAAGTCGCGCACATTGCTTTGGTCAGGCCAACATATCCATCCAGTTCAATGGCCGATGCGATGTGGAAAAGCGAGAATAAAATTCGTGGCAAGGTCACAACTGAGAGTGGTGCCTTTTTTTCTCCTCTTGCCGCCACACCGCAAAAGCCCCAAATTCCCTTCTGCACTAATTGGCGACTTGACCTGCTTGACCTCAGCCACTGATCGTCATTATCTCTGGGTTGCTGTGTTGGCAATTAGCAGAGCAACTTTCGCGCCGAAAGTGCAGAGCAGGGGCAAAAACTCCCCTCTAAATACAGGAAATCACTTCAATCTGTCTGATTGATGGACTTTCTTTGAGATTGCGCCAATATCATTGATTTTCCCCTAATGCGACTGCATTGGGGCATTCTTTGATTTATCAGCTTTCTCTCGGCGTTTTTGGTTGTTAAATGTTGGCAAAGATGACTGAAAATTGGAATGAGCTTTAGTGTTAATCGCTTTTCTCACTTTTGACGAAGAAGCATGAATTTTTCCCAATACATTTCATTAATTTAAATTTTCGACAGAGAAGAAAAACGAGTGTTTGCAAAAATTCACCATAAAAGCTTTTATCCTGTCATTTTAGCACAGTCTTTCGTCCACAGTGTCTGGAAATGCATTTTTTATGTCACTCTTCGTATGAAACAATGTCATTTTAGCAGAGAGATGTGAATATGCATAAAATGCATTGCCTTGAAGGATAAAAAAGCCAAGCTTCCAAATGCCGCGAGCGAGCTTTTGTTGTACCATAAATTCAATGCTCTACAGTGTAATGATGATGCGCTCAGGGTTTGTGGGGGAGAAAAAAAGGAGCAACGCGTGGAAAGGGCTTTTTCTGTACACCATTGCCTCTCTGTACGTCGTTTATTCAAAAAGTTTATTATTATTTTCTGTCTGTTGCCGCTGAATCTGCGGCGAGGCTGCGGGAAGAGCGAGAGAAACTCCGGCTTGGGATCGTTAAATGAGGGAAAATCCTTTTTCTGCGGGAACCACGCGTTGCTACCTTTTTGGCGGTTCCCGCGGGGAGTCCTTGCATGACGGCGACGGGACTTTTATGGCTATTTATAAATGTTATGGTGCGTCAAAAGGGCGAAATAACAATGAAAAACACATTCGTGGAAAAATGCCAATTGCAATCAATTTGGATTTTTATAGTGTTCTCCATGGCAAAAGCCTCCAATTTAATGTGAAATTCACTTTTGCGGGGTTTTATTTCGTGCACACTTTCTGGCACTTGAGAAGTGCGAGATTGTCTTCTGGTGTGGGCTTGAAATTCAATTTAGGACTTTATTGAATTGCGAAGAATTCCAAGAGTGACGACAAAAGTGTGTGTTTGCTGGCAAAAATCATGGCATTGGCATCTCAAGTGTTGGGAAAACAGAGAGATTTCCAAGCTTGATGGCAAATGCTCAGGCAAGAAGAGCAGAAGAGGATATCAAACTACACTCAATTCTTAATCTTATAATTCCAAATTGCTTTCATGGCGCTGCGGCTTCTAACTGCCAAACGGAACAGACATGAGCGAGTGTGGGAAAAGGTGATGACCTACCCTTTTGCAAGATAGTGCCGATGTTTAGTGTGTAAACCCTTAAACAGCTTCTCTGTATTTTGTGTGTACTTTGTATATTGAATTAGGGACTCAACCCCTAAACTCCGTGATTTAACCTCACCCAGAATCCGACAATCAATCTTGCTGTAATTACAAAGTTCAAAGCCATGCCACCACCCTTAGGGAGCACAGTGCTCAAGATTTATTAGTGGCGATATTATCTTTTACTCGCAACTACAACCCCCGCAATGCAGACGCCATTTCCACCCACAATCAGATCGGATTAACATTCTCCGCTTTTCGCGCGACCCACGAGCTCTCCCTCGGACGCCCAAGGAGCTTTCGATGCGGCGAAGGATATGGAGTTTCACTTGATTCATCGTCGCATCTCGCCAGTGTCACTCAGCGTTAGAGGAACAGCGAAGAAGTCTTATCGTCAGTGGAACAAGGATATTTTCTTCCGCATCTTCAAGAGCATTGAATCCGAGAGGGAAAAAACAGAACTCTCTTGAATAGTTATCTTGATTGCGAATTTATGAGTTTATTTAATTAATAATCTTGTTGTGTTCAAACAAATCTCGTAGTGTTAATACTGAATAACTTCTTTACTTGGTCATTTTGATTACTTTGAGCTCAAAAGAAGTGCACAAAGCAAACATACCATTTTCACATTGTTTTTTTTTTATCACGAAATCACCCTTATTTCACCCATTATTTTCTAACCAGTATTTATGTAGCTCTTATGTCAATTCGTGGGAAAAACCAAACTCTTTCACTCACAGGAGCTCAAGGAATTCTTGTAGTTCATTGCAAACGAAAATATTTCGGATAATTCTTGTGTAGGGAAAAGCAACACAATTCCAAAAACTCTCTCAATGCTTTGTAATTTCTGCATTCCACACAGTATTTTGCGAAATTGTATCAACCCTCTGAATGAAGGCGGAAAGATGAAAGCGGAATAACCCGGAAAACGAGCGCGCGAGATTCCTTTAGATTTATCCTCAAGTGTATGGAAACAGTCCCTCGTTACATTATGTTTCTTCATCGCATTCTCCACGCCACACTCTGTATTTTATTTAGTTGTATCGATGCTAGGGGACGAAGGGGGTGGGCAAATCCCTCCCTTTCATTATAATGTGTTCGAACTTTGCGCCAAAAGCTCGTCCAAAGAGGGCTTTTGCCATGGGTTATAATAAATGGGCCAAATCTCCAAGACACTCTCCCATCGACAAACTTTTCAGCATTTCGGCTCCGCAGCCATCGGAAATCCTCAGAGTCGCTTTTCGCCGGCACTTCACCCCAGAATTGGTTTGTTATATCGCACGGCGCACAGCCCAGAAAAATCCATCTCCCGCTCTCGTGGGTCCGCAGTGCTCAATTCTCTAACCATAAATTTTAGAGCTCAGCGAAACATCTTTTCTAAATGTGATTTTATGTCGCTCTGCCACAAAATTGTCTCCACCAACAGCCCTGATTGCTTTCGTCTTCTCTCTGTGCTCTTTCCAATTTCCGGCAGAGTCTTCCGCCTTTGCCATCCTTTCTAATTTCCCCGGCACACCAAGGCGGAGAATGTGAAAAATGCGTTACAGAGACAGGAATTGAGTGTATTTGAATCTTTTTTTTTTCATCCATAGTAACTCAGAAAGTTGAGTTTATGAAGAAGAGAAATCTCAAATAACTCCCCATTCAAGTGGAATATCGACAGACCCTTGAAATCTGTGCAATTCTCACAGGGATGAATATGCAGCAACTGTACAAATGGTATTCAATACAAATTCTCATGTGCCATTTTATCAATTCATACCAAACATGTTGGATTGTTTATGAAACAATTTAATACACTACGATTAATATTTAGGACATTAATACAATGCTCACAGATGTGGAATAATGGGATCCACCCTCTGCCATTCCCTCGTGTCACCCCCGACCGGCGGGCATACATTCTCTTAATCAATTCCCATTAAACACGGAAACATACTCCACCCACCGATTCCAATCCCGTCTGTTCACATTCAGACGCCCCGTAATTAAGGCACTGCTGCTGCCCACTCTGGGGGCGACACAGCCCTCCGTCGAGCCCATTCACGTCATCATATAATACTCCATTAATACATGACGGAATTTTCACTGAAACCCTCTTCGATCATCCGGAAATGCTAACACACGCGCGCGCTTAAGGCGCTCCCAAAGAAATGCACAGCAAAATCAGGCCACAAGGCTCATTAAGGCGATTGAAGCAAGAGGACAAAAGCAGGATCATCAGCGAATTCATGCTGAAGAACTATAGCAACGATCCTATGCAATTTGAATGACCACAAAGCTCTCTGTGAGAGAGAAATGATGTGGCTAAGACCCTTGTGAATACTCAATTGTGAATTTTCGTATTTTATTCATTGACTTGCAAAGCTGTGATCGTTACTCTTCATGAGATATGAAGCTTCGCAGCACATTATCCCAGGAGTCGTAACCCCTTGAAACTCAATTTAGAGAATGAAAAGCTCTCCAGATAAATAGAAAGACTTGGAGAGCATCGCCTTTAATTGCATTGGAAAATCCTCAATGCAACAATAAAATTCCGCGATGCTAAATTGAATGGGAGAAATATTGGATAGAAGTAATTTTCAATAAATAATTTCCACTATGCTTTTGTCACTTGCCAATGCGCACCCAAGAGAATTCCGCACTCGAGCTTTCTGGCACTTTTGTTGCTCAATGAAGCGCACACGAGGAGCTGCAGTCATCGTGAAGTTAAGTTTTATTGTCGTGCACTGAAGGAATTTCCCCATTGTGTGCAGAAAACCCCCTTATCCTTATCAATCTTTTTTCTACTCCGCCGTCTTTTCATTGTTCGCATTCTTGCACTCTTTCTCACGAGACCGCCAATGATGGCGATACTGCGATGTGTGGGAATGTTCTCTTATCCGTATATCGGCTATTATTTGGGGCTTTTAATAAGAAATTCTTACATTCTCATTGTGAATTGGGGGAGGCAAAGGAATGCGAGAGGGTGGCTGAATCGTGACGTATTTGTGGCGAGCACAGGTCAATAAAGCGGCGGAATCGCAACTTGAGGAATTAAAATGATAATCCGTTTTCGTGTCATGAGAAGTTTGTCGGCGAACAGATCGCGTGGAATGGCACGTAATGTGGGCGGTGTTTGTCTTGAAGCTCATTTCACCTTGTTGGTCGTAAAACTTCTAAATTGTTTTCCTACATTTCACCTCTGCCATTTGACTTTTAATCACCCAATCCTTTGAGTGGGAATTCCAACTCGGTTTGCAATGAAAAAATCATTTGTGAATGTTTTTCCAATTTGCAAGTAAAATAATTCCCCAATCACACTCACGTCGTGATCACGAATCTCTGCTTATTCTATTGAATCAATAACACACGCGAAATCGTTGTTTGTACGGGGAAAATTCCACCCTTTGACTTCAAACACTTTGAAATTCTGTTTGATGATCTCTGATTGATTCATTGGTAAACAAGCAGAGAAACACATGTGAAAACCACATCAAATTAATATCAAATCTGAATGGCGAATTCAGTAAGTAAACTTCCCCTCAGAAGGCGAAATTAAATCGTGTTTCCGAATCGATAGGATGCTCTTGGTGTTGAATTTGTGCAAATAGCACGATTAAAAAATGTACCATGCCAATTTTCCCGGGTCAAAACTAGCCACATGTGAAGTGTTTCTAAAAGAATTTTGAGGCGTCGCACACAAATGACCCATCACGATACCTGCGGATGTTGTCGAAGCTTCTCGGCATGGGTAGAAAGATGCTATTTACATACTTACGCCCCGTGGAGAAAAGCTCAAAGCTCCCGCCGTGAGATCTTTTCGCTCCTTCATAGTCAGAAGGCTAAATACGAAATTGTTGTTTAACACACTCGAACTGCTTAAAGTGCTTTAAAACTTTTACACTTTAACGGTACATGAGGCTTACACAAAAGTGTGGTGGAAAAGTTTTTCCCTGTGACTTCTGTTCCGCCCCTGCGAGACGGGTTGCGGGGTCGCTCTGCGTCCCTCTCTCATGTATGGCAGCGTCACTGAGGGTGGCTTTCATTCCGGGGAGGGTGTAATTTATTGAGAGAGATATATAGTTGATGTACTTAGTGCCATTCGCCAGTGTATTGTTGAGTCGCTGCCCCTCTTTTGGGGGGGTGAAAAGGGATGATATTGGTCTGGCTCACACGAGTGCTCGTGCTGGTGTATTAAATTGAAGATGCTGCACAGTGGAGTGGCATTATTCTATTTAAAACAATACAGATCGACTATCTCTACGAACTTAATATAAAACCACCCCACCTTCGTATCTCTTTCCCTCAAACCATGCATGGCATATCAAGTCACCCTCAACTTTCCTCGTGAGCGCTCTGAAGCGTGCAGGGGGTGAATTGTTGAACATTCCACTGTTATATTATGACGAACAATTGGTGGAATTCGGTTAATATCCATTTGCATCGTGATGGGGAAACAGAAAGTTACAAACAGCTGAAGCTCTTATACGCATTTTAGAGACTACGGAAAATTGCTGGTGTGGGTGGCCTATGAGATTTTTTTGGCACTTGCTTGGAAGAAAAATCAGTGGAAAATCAAAGACTCTGGAAGACTTTCAAAAATACAAACTTTCTTCAAACAAGTCACTGAAGTATATTGAAAATTAAAGGAAGTGAAATTTGCATTCCATATTCACACGTCAGGTGTGAAAATTGGGTTGGATTATATTGCAAAATCATTTCATTAAACTTTCCGAATCATACAGGAAAGAAACCAACTGTGCGAGAAATCAGAGGGAATTCTGTGTCTCTCTTCTGACTAGCAAAGAAGTAAACAAAGTACAGATTTTTCTGTAACTGTCCTATTAAAGAACTTTTTTTTTTCTTAGGACAAATATAATCCAAATTCTCTCGATAAATGAATTTTTGGAATAAATTGGTGGGATTTTTTGAGTGCTTTTCGAGTATTAAAAACAGAATTCGTCTTTTCATGATAGTTATTTCATCCGTGTGTATCACTTTATTGAAATTGCTTTAGGATGAATTTCAGTCGTATAATCTTGTTGTAATAGAATTTCGGGTACTTTTGCACGCAATCTCTCGTCTGAAAAGTTTTCTGTGCGAGGAAATCCTTGTGGGAAAGTTTGTGTGCTATTCACCCCTTGTTTGGTCACCCCGGAAAGAAGGGGGTTGAGCTATGAGTTCGCCTCGTGTGGCGTTCTCCTGTTCATATACCATAATTGAAAGATCCATATAATGCCGTGTGGGCCGGAGTGGGAGTGTTTTGGACAACTTTTCTGGGGCGGAAAGGGGTGCAGAAGCTGGACAAACTCACTGGTTGGCAAGCGGAAGTGAGAAACTGCATACCTTCGAGATGTACAATTTTCATTTGGACAAACTTTACACGGACAACCACTGATATGCCAATTTTGCTAGTCAAGCGGAACATGGAGATAAAGTTGAAACCACGACATGAGCAATTAATGGCATTTGATTGCATGAACTTCAAGTTTTGGCGAAGATGTGGTGGCTTTTGATTTCTTTACCACTCTCTTGAGATGTTGCATAGAATTTTCATGTGCGGAGAAATTGGAAATTGTACAAGGTCATAAAATTGTTCATGTGAGAATTTGCGAGTGGAGAAAAGTTTCTGCCGTGGAGATTTATTGTTGGGGGAGAAGTGGAAAAAAGACAGAGAGACGTTTGCAGACTTAAAAGTGTGTCGGGTGGAAGATAAGGCGAGAGAGAGTGGCTTTTCCTCCACACTTGGGAACTTTTCACATAACCAATAGTCTCTTTAAATATTGTTCACAAATATTTTCTTTGGGACTTGTTTTAACGTGTCTCCAGCGATAAATTCCATCCAGTCCTGATCATTTTAGATAGAGCAATCACGTGGTGAATCAAGTGGAAATTGAGACAAGAAAACTTTTGGAAATCTCAAATACTTCTCCTCTCCTCTCATTCCAGCCATTCCCGAAGGAGGCGCACACATTGACAGCGGAGGAAAGCTGGGCTGAAGACGTGAAATTGCCTGGAGGGACTGAATTGTGTTTGTGAGTGTGTGTGTTCTTCTTTTTTTTCACGGATCCTTTCCTCTTCCGCCTCCTACAAAGTGAGATCTTCCGTGATTAGCCCAGTGGCTATCTGGTGGTGTGATTGTGGGTGGCAAAGAGTGAACTTTTCATTGAATAAGAAGTCACATCTTCACGACGAACAACTGGAAAGAAGATTTACCGAACAAGTTTAATTAGGTAAGTACTTAGACTCGGTTACAGCATCTTTCCAATCCCCAGAGGAGTTTCAGGGCGAAGGCAATGAAAAGCTCAGCTGAGATGAAGCACGTGCTGTGGTATTTATCTTCGTGAGAAGGAACGATGAGTTTCTCGAGGGGCGAATCATTGGTGAAAAACTCACGCTTCAGTGGAAGACACACACGTCTTCAGTTGAAATATCTCTCCAAGGGTGCAAATTACTCACACATACACATATTGATACATCATCACGGTCAATATCTATTAAATAGTCAATTTGTACAGTGCAAATAATGAGAAACCCTTTGGCAGTTTCTTTTGCTTTGGGTAAGAAATTCAATTTCATCTCGGTGAATAAACAATCACGCTGGCAAAATTCCTTTTCGCCTCTAGAAAAATCCACATAGAAATTGCCAAACATATCTATATAGAGAGAATCCTTTGATGCTCATTTCTGATTGCCAAATACACCATTTGGAAGAGGATTCAATATTGAGTGATGAGAGAGAAAGAAAGTTGGGTAAAATTTACCATATGTCCCTTTCTGTCCCTTCTCAGCATCGCTATGCAGCGAGTGACAGTGGAATTTTCAATAACTATGAGAAATTCTGCATGTCGCTTTGATGGAGGTTGAATATCTGGTGGAGAGTGTGAATTACTGCCAAATGTAAATATAAGTTGTCGAAAGGAAACTTTTAGTAGTTCACCTTTATGTTAGGAAGTGAATATTGAAGGTTCTCATGGAATCTCGAATGTTAAATTCAGGAAAAGTGTGCCGTAGGAAATGTCACATGACAATCCAATGAATTTCCACGTAAGTTCGGCAGAAACTTCTTTTGTTGGACATGGAATTATTTTTCTAAACTAATTTTGAGAATGTATTTCTGTTCTCATTTTTATAAAATCACGTGTGCCCAAATTTCTTAGTCTATGGAAATCTATTGGACTTCTGAATCTGATCACGGAGTGATTTGTTATCGGTATGTTCCCTTACTTGGCTTCTGTTTTTATTCCTTGTCTATGATTTTCAGTATATTTATTCAATAGAATGCTGAAAGAAGCGAAAGAAAATCTTTTATGTAGGGTTTTCAAAGAATCTTTGTGACCTGAATTCTTGGAATAATAAATATTTAAATGGTCACTCATGGGAAAAGGGAGAGAAATTTAGTAAAGAACTTTAACTTCACAGTATAAATTGACGAGTTTATTTACATTGTCAGATGAATCTGTGAGGAGGAATATAAAGGAGGGGAAATTGAATTGAAAATCGAATTATCTATTTATTTTCCGCTAAACAATATAACTTTTGCATTAGTTTTGCAGACTGTTGTCCTATATTTTTGTCCTTCCTTCTTCTTTCCTTCGACTTTTTCCTTGGCCTTGGTAATAGGGCTCATAAATTTCCACACAGAGGGCAAATAGTACAAACATAGCCGGAAAATGAGCGCTCAAGTATGTGACTAACTTCTCTGTGGGGCGGTCTGAGGGGCGAAAAGTTGGCAAGTGAGAGGAAAAATACAATAAATAAACTTTAATGAAATATTCCGGGCTTAATTTGAACTGGTGGTGACTTAATTTATGTGCGGACACGCAAACTCCTCGCGGCTCTGCAGCTCTTAACGAGCCATTTGAGACACACAAATGAATGAAAATTCCACATTTCACCGGGAAAATTGTGGAGGGAAACTGCGAAATTTGCTTTGGTGGCAAAAAGGGTTTTGGAGCTCTTCCTGGGAAGACTTGCGTGGAGTCACGTTTGTTCATAATTTGAGTGTCTCCGAACGCTGGGGAGACAATGCGGCACGCTCCCCAATGGCAACCCCACTGAGGGTGTTGTCAAATTAGCGCAGGGGAAGTGAGGATTTTCTTGGGCGGATTGCCATGGAGTAAATCAATTAAAATTAATCTACCCAAATTGCTCCATGTCTCTTATCAATCAATTCCGCATATGAAATTCTGGAGCGACTTCACCCCTTTTCACCCGGGCGTGACAGTTTATCAGGCCAAAATCGAATTAGCCACCAACTTCAGACTCTTCGATTAAACTTTGCTCCCCATTCTTGAGGGGTGGCGGATTAATAAAAATCCCTCTCTGCTTCCAGCAGGAGTGTTTACTGAACCCTTTAGCCCTTTTTTGCTTTTGATACTCTTTTGGGGTTGGAAAAGTGATAGATTTTTGAAGTCTATCGAGATTTTGATTTATTTTCAGCCTGCAAACACGATTTTCTCTATTCCTTCCCTTTAATTAATATCATTTTACTATGTTAGGCAAATATTATCCAATTAGTGAAAAGTCATTCACTCAAAGTGAACTGAAATCTAGGAAATTGTTACACAATCAGAATATTTGATCTATAGATTGTTTCTATGGTATTAATAGTAATTGAAAATATATTCATTGTAGTCTTGTGTTTCTAAATAGACATTTTCTAGGAAAAAGCTATGAATTCATCCCATTTCATCCAGTTCATAAATCGTATTCACGTTAGTTTGCAACAACATTCTTTCCCTGTCGGCATTGTAAGTGTTCTGGGGAAAACGTGTGTGTGTATGTGTGTGTGTGTGTGTGTGTGTGGAAATTAACTACTCTCTGTTTTCCTGCTTTTTATGTCATGTCCCTTGTCTCCAGATAAACACACGCCTTTGCCTCTGGCACTTCTGGGCGCGTTCTCGTGGAAATGATTGGGATTGCTTCGCGCCAGGTTCGCAGTTCGAGGTTGGAAAAGTTTTACTATTCCAATCCTCGTGCAAACCATTAATCAAATTGATCCTCCACTCGGGCTTCTTTATTAGTTAATATAAATGCACATGGAGGCGCCTGGTGTGTGCTGCCCACCCCATGACAGACCACCCTTATCACTCTGGCATGAAACCCACCCCTGAATGTACAACACAATGCCAGACAAGTGCACCGACTCTCCCTCTTGTCGTATTCCCCCAGATTTCATTTGAATTTCTATCGTGACGATAACTTTACATGTGAAGCTTTTATTGCCAAGCATATAAGTTTTCTGTCTAGGGGAGTTTCCCGCCCCTGTGAATGGAGGGGTGGGGGAGATGTGCAAATTTACCCCCTATTCAGCTTTCGCTTTATCCACTAGTTTATCGCTAGAGTTGCTGGGATTATAGATGGATTTGACGGTTATTCCATATGGAAATTTTACACTGCAATGAGTCTCGAAGGACATCAGCAAGAGCCATTGATTGTCGCAAACTCTATGAAAGTGAGCAATTATGCTGAGTGATCAACTCTGGGTTGGTCGGAGTCTTTCGGAAATCTAAAGGGTGGCATGACACTCTGGGCGCCATGTGAGAGGAGTTTGGCAAAGACTAAAGGGAATAGATGTGGTGGGAAGGTGAAAATTTACTCCCTGACATACTCACATAAAGTCTTGTGAGCTTCCCCATGACAGCCGTTCGTGCCACCTCCACAAACACTGCAATTGAACACTATTATAAAGTCAGTGGTGGTGGTGGTGAATGGGAAATGCACAGGGTGGCATTCTATGTCGTCCCCTTTCATGTTTTTCTCTCTCTCTCAAACCTTACACTTTTCATGAGCAGAATTTTGTGTGCTTTTTACAGTCTGAATGCGGAAAGTTTGCCGGAAGCTCGCTTTATTACTTACACGATGGTCGGTCGCCCTGTGTGCTTCTCCCACCCCGAAGACTTTCCTCATTTTGACACCACACACTTCAGCACCCATATTGATATTTTCGGCGTGGGAGACAAGCGAGAATTTGAGCAGAATTTTGCCAAATGCACTCGTAGAATTTTCCTCAAAGTTGCCATTTTCACTTGGTGGCTGAAAAGTCCCCAAAGGTGGAGGATTATTTAAATTTCTCTGATTGAATTTGCTCATCTGAGATTTTCACTCTTTCTGAGCCTCCAATGGAGCGAAAGTAAATTAAATCATGTTGGATTTTTCTCAGCATCTCCGAAGACTTCTTTGAATAATCTCTAATGATGTGACACTGGATTGGGTGAGATTAATATTGTGAAAATGGTCTGGAGATAAAATTCACGAGCATTTTCTTTTGTGGGGTTTTTTCTGACAATCTGGTGTTTCTGTGAAAATTATTTAACGAGTTTTCTTTAGATTTAATATAAAGTCGTGCTCTAAACTGAAAAACCATGATGAATTTATGACAAAGACTGCACTTGATGATCAGACGCTGCATTTTCTTCACTTTATCATTTGCCAGTGGACGTTTGCCAAGCTTGGACGCAGACTTGAGGGCAACAGAGCATTGAAATGGCCTTAAGAAATTCTCCGAAATGAATTTGTCAGCTCCTCTATTGATGAGAATATTCCTCTTTACGCATCTCACAAGTCCCCGGGCGACAATATAGGTTATGCAGAGCACGATGAGGCGATTGATGGAGCAAAATCAAATGGGTGGGAGTCTGTGTCATTTCGATGCTATGCCGCATATCACAGAGCATCAATCACTCAATCAATTAATCAATCAGTCGATGGAGAATACATTTTCCACCGTGGGAGCGATATACGGCCCAGTGTTTTATCACAGCGTGCCGGCAATTTGGATGTCTTTTCCCGCCAAAATTCGCACGCATTTCGAGTGTGGGGAAAAATTCAGCGCGCGACACGATGCCAAGGCGAGGGACGTGACTTTATCATTGACATCCACCGTCATGAGACCACGTACGAAAATGATAATAAAAGTTGCTTTCTACTTGCGAAAGTGTGGAGAAAGAGGCTCAATATCTGTGCGACACTCGGAGAAATTCAATGGCATGCTTTGTGAATTCTGAGGCGACGTTTTGAACATTTCTTCTCTCAGCTAAATTGGCAGTAGTTTAATGCTCTGAAAGATTCTTTGAAGTTGAGAAACTTCAATCAGATCACAGCGTCCGTAGAAGTTTTTGCATCTCTCTCTTGGCTGATTTCTTTGAGTACAGTCTCAGTCGGTTTCCAACCCCTTTTTCGCACGATGGCACTTCGCCTGACAAGTTCTGTCTTCGCCCCAGCGCAGAAA